AATGCCAAATCTTATCTTTGTTTCCACAAGTTACGGCTTGCATGGTTGATAAAGCAAGAAAAATTTCTTCAAATGAAGGTAACTTTATTTTTAAAATATTCAAAATTAGATATATTTGTTGATAGTTTATTCTAAAAGCAGAAGTTTTATTGTGTAATTTTCGATTATAGGAATTTACAGTGAACCAGATCGCTATAATGGACATTCATTAGAAAAAGAAACAAGTGAAATAGTCATGCAATATTTTTTGAACGATGATCTTAACTGCTCAAGACAAAGTCCTAACAAATGTGACGTTATTACTGTGATTGAACATGGGCAAAGGGTGAAAAAAGTTAAACGTTTTTTAACGAGGAGTATGAAGGTAGTATACAAAGTTTTCAAAGAAGACAATCCTAGTATAAAAATTAGCAAATCAAAATTCTACTCAATGCGCCCAAAATATGTACTAATATATCCAGTGAACGATGTATGCTTATGTATTTATTGTGCAAATTTTGATCTACTTCTCATTGCTTTGAAACATTTTATTGGGCAAACAAGTACTAGTCTTTCGAGTATGCGCTCTGAAATGTTATCAAATGTTGTTTGTTCAGCCCCTACAGAGTCTTGTAATTTTCAAGAATGCACTTCATGCCCTGGTGCTAATGGCATCACATTCGACAAATTAAAAATTGACGAATCTGAGGTAGATAGTGAAATATCATTTGCATTTTGGAGTAAAGGTACTCTAGAAATGAGAACGGTATCTATTGCTACGTTCAAGGAAGAGATTGCAGAGCATACCATCAAAATTATTTCTCACTTAAGGATTAAGGAAATACAAAGGTTAGAAATAAAATCTGAAAAAGAAGCAGTATCAAAAAACTGTCGATGGTTATTGATGCATATTGATTTTGCTTAGAATTGGACAGTAATTTTGAAAAATCCCGTTCAAGGAAACCACTGGGTAAACAAACAGATTTCAATTTTTACTGCAGTTATTTATGTAGGAAATATGGTGAAGAGTTTTGTTGTTGTCAGCGATGACCAAAAACATGATTTTTGTCATTCTTTATTAGCGATGAAAAAAATTATTGATATAATTGAAAGCACAGTTAGTGAAGACAATATTGTACTGGAGTCGATCACCATATTATCGGACGGTGCTGCAAGTCATTTTAAAAATCGTTTTCAGTTGCACGAGTTTCGAAAAGGAACCATTAATAAAAAACGGATATTTTCTGCAACCGGTCATGGGAAAGGTGCTGTTGATGGTTCAGGAGGTTTAGTAAAACATTATGCAACGGTACATAATTTACGTTCTTCCGAGATCGACGCTATTCAATGTGCTGAAAAATTTGTTGAATATGTTCAAAGCTATACTACTTCAATACAGTTAATACACCTAGAATCTGAAGAACTTCAAAATTTTCGTAACGAGAAAATTGAAGATAGCAATAGTTCCATGAAATTCGATGGTATCCAAAGATGCCACATGTGGAAGTCTGAACCATCCAATGGGAAGAGCAAGTGTTTTATCGCTAGAACTGCAGTACATGAATGGATTGAGATGGAGAAAAAAGTAAAAATGACTAAAAGGAAAATCAAGGTGAAGAAAACTTCGGCTAAAAGAGGAAAATATGGTCAAGTACATCAAAAGACAAATAAAGTTTTATCAGGAAAAGTTAAGAAAGTGAATAACAGGCGAAAAAACAAAAAAAAAGAAAAATAAATAAAGAATAGATTCAAGATATATTAAAAAATAAATGTGAAACATTATTTTATTTACTTTTGAACCTTTTTTTTTATAAAAGTAATATACATTTACATAGATTATTCAAATTTTCGACACGGAAGAAAAAATTTTTTTTTTTATTTTTTTTCTCCATAAAAAAGTAAAAACCGGAAACCGGACTGGTATACGTTTGAACACGATGGTACAACAAATCTACAAAAAAAAATAGGCCAAAAAAAAGATGGCCTTTTTGAGATAAATCGGTATTTTTACAGGATGCAATTTTTATGTAAAAGTTCATAATCTTCTGAAAAATGCATTTATGCACATTTTTGATCACGTACATTTGAAGGTCTTCAATTTTGCTACAATATGAAAAAAGTTTCATCCGATTTGGACTAATAATGACCGAGCACTAGAAAGTTGAAATCCAACTCTCAAAATTTTTTTTTAACTTTGAATTTTAAAAGTGAATTTTCAAAATTCAATATTAAATCAAATATGCGTCTAAGGCAAAAAAAAAAAATACGTGTCGCTTTATTTTCATCATAGAATCTCAAAAAAATAGTTTGGTGTGGTTTGCTCATGGGTGCCCATGGAGCTCCATATGATTTGAGATAGAATCGGCCATAACAAGCCGAGAAGAGTGTTGGTACATAATAGTTCCGGTCTAGTATAAAGAGCGAGCGTTGCTTACTGAGAGCCATCTTGGGAACAATTAGATCGGGAAAAGACTTAGGATAGAATAATGGTAAATCATTAGCTCGTGAAAACTACTGGCCAGACGTTTGATATGACATTAGTATCTTCGTAAGCGAATGCAAGAAATGTTAGGAGTACACAATTGTATAACAGGCTCCGCTTGAATTAATGGGAAGTTGTTTGCGAATTGATCATCCTTTATAGCTTGCTGTGTGGTTTCCTTGACAATTCGCACATCTTACTTCTTTAATTTTTTCTTTGATAGTACAGTTTTCTGTTGCGTACTGCTTTGCATATTTCACACATATTGCACTCTTGAGGCACTAATTTTTCGCATGCTTATATTCTTGACAGTTATGACATTGTGGGATCTCTCTTTTGACATTCGGCGGTTTAAACTTTATTACGGTATTTAGCAATCTGCTTACATTATAGATGTCTTGACTTTTGTAGTCATATTTAATTTCTACAGTAAATAGTGGTAACGGTATTTTTGTCATCCGATGCCTATTATTTCGGATGCTCATTACGTTATGTCCGTATTCCTCAGAAGGATGCATACTTCTCGGAATTACTTTAAATTCTTTATTTTCTTTTCACTGATATGTGTAATATTCAGTGTTTTTTTCTTTTATAATATAACAGATTTTTTTCAGCTGTTGACGGTTGGATTTTTATATTGTTTTGTCCTATAACTTTTATTATGTAGTTATCTTTTACTATTTCATTTAAGAGATTTACAAGTGGACATATGTTTTCTACATTGTAGACAACATTTTTAAAGAGTTTATATCACTATTTACTGTGTTTTCTTCTGTTTTTTGTTTATCTTCAAGAATCTCGAATCTATTGGTGGTTTGATTGAGCTAGTAATCTGATAGCTAGGCTTGCCGTTTTTCGTTTGGTATTGGAATGTCTGAGCTACTTCTTTGTCGTTTTCCACTTGCAGTTGTCCATTTTTCTGTGTTGTTTTGTGTGGGTGTAGACATTGTCTTCCCTACTTGTGTGACCATCTGACCTTTGTTCTATTGTTATTATAACGTTGAGTAAATTTATTTGGATTAACTGTCAGTTTTCCTGATTAACTGATGTTTTTTATTTTTGAGTAGAGCGCAATGCAAAACAAGTCTGCTCCACTCAAGGTTCAAACACTGACTGAAACATTGAAGTTAACTAAAAAAGAGCTTTTGTTCATTTTCACAGCTTGCAACTGCCGATTTTGCATAGGAAACAATAAATTTCTAACGTCTGTGACGTCACGCTCCTTATATGGTCTTGATTTTGTACACGTGCTATAACACTCCTAAGCATATATGTGAGGTGGCGCCTTAGTTTTGATAGCACTTTTTCTTAGTTTTCGGATGTATAATAATAAACCGCGAAAACTTTTAATAAATCATACGAGCGAAGTCGCGAATAATAAATCTACCACCGTTGAAGACGAGCGAGAGCTGGTACGACAGAAATACGCTCAAGAGAGCGACCCACCAGGTGACGATGACTTGCTTATCGAAAGGTGGCGTCGGCGGAAACGCAGTTCGGCTAGCAGTGGTGTCCTGGTGATGGAATCTTGTTTGAAACACAATTTCTCCGTCGAGCGACGTTTTTTCCAGGCGGCCTTCTCCCTAACTTTGTTTGCGCCTTACTCTCCCTTTTTTCTCTTCACACCTACTTATCGCCACGCGCCGCTCCTATCCCGACTCTTTACTAGCTAAAATCTTTGTCGGTAATGCTCTCTCTCTCTCGCTCACAGCGCCACATCGCTGGCCGCTACACACCTCTCTCCTGGCCCTACAACGACATAGGCCGATAACAAAGAGTACATGGGCATGTACTCTTTGTTATTATTCATGCTCGCTCGCTGCGCTCACGTGAGCAGAGTGCCGTGCATATGGCCAATGAACTCGCTGTATTCCTGTCACATATTTAAGAAGTTAAAACATTTAAAAAACTGAGAATTGTTATTAAAGAACACCATCAAATTACTTTAGATAATTGAAATCACTCTTATTAATGCATTTAAATTGAACAAAAAATTGGCATATCTATATCTGTAAGTAGAGTGACGTCTCGCATCTTATATGGTCATAAAATTTAACTCTTGCTGTAATAAAATCATATAATACATGAGGTTACGCCGTACGCTACATTAATTAATAGGTATAGTTCCAGGAGTTTGGCGGGTAAACGCTATACAGTGAAAAGCCGAGAACATTGTCTAGTAGTTCATAAATAATACCGCTATATGTATTTTGTTATTAAAATATAAAAAATACTATATGTTATTTTTATTTCATGATAAAAATTTTCACGCGACTACGGCGAAATTCTATATTTTCTTTCAGTATACACCTCATCACGCCATCATGGACGCCACATTAATCTTACAAACGAGGTCACTATTGATCGCATATGCTGTTCATCTTTTGTCTTTCGTGATCCTGTATTTACACTATTTACATAGTTTACCTTCTTAAATTAATTCGAACCGCCGATATTAATTACAGTTACGCTTCAAATTAACATATTACATTATAGACATTAAATTGATATATTAATTATGTTTAATAATTATGGGTAGGATTACAATGAATCATATAGTCAGTGTACCAGATATGATATAAATTGGACAATGTATTTGTCGTCTGAGAGTTCTGATATTGCCTACTCAAAGAAAACTATATTTGCTGAAATTCCGTGTGATAAAGGATGGGAATACAATTTATCAGAAGTATCTTCGTCTATCGTAATAGAAGTGAGTATATTATTTATACTAATTAATGTTTGTTATTCAATCCCTGTAAGTACAGCGATGGAAAAATATATCTTTCTTATGTTAGTTCTTTTTTATAAACACATATTTTAATAGAAACATATATTTTATTTAAATTCACATATCGACTAATGAAAAAAACTTAAAGGAATAAATATTTATGAATAAAATAAATCTCATTACCCGCACACGTACTCAATCAAAATCGTAAATTATATTTAATTGTAATTAAAGCCATGTGACAAAAAATTTTACTTCGTTAAGTAAGAATTTCAAAGAAAACAGTTCAATTTTTTTTTATTCACCAAATAAATATCTACCACAGTAATTTTTCTAATGCTAGTGATACAAGATGAAACAAAAATCAAAACATATAAATATACAAAGAGTAAAATTATTTATATATAGCTAAGTTATAAACAGACAGCATTAAGTACAGTTCTTTAAGAGGAGGTTACTTACTAATTAAATAAAAATACTATACAAAGATATAAGAACAAGCCCTTAACAAAATATATATACAACATACACTTCGTTGTATTGATGACTTTTACCACCAATAATTTTTGGATCGTTCAGATCTTTATTGGCAACCAAAATTATGCAATAATACGAATATGTAATTCTTTTCCTAAAAAATATTGTTGTTTTAATTCGAACATACATTGCCGTCCATATTTATTTGCCCACCCAAAGAAGAAATTATATAAAATTAAAAGCTTTTTTACTAAGGAAGTATTCATCCTATAGAATCCTTCGGTAGCTCATTGTATAGGTCCTGGTGAGTACTTTGAGGAACATTTCCTTTGAATCGATTAATAATTTTTTTCTATGTTTTATCAATACATAATGACAAGGAAAAAATCAAAAATTTTATACCCATTTTTAAGTCCGAACATTTTTATGGGAAAAATTTCCATGATAAATTAAAAATGAGAATTTGGAAGCTTGTTTAAAGAGCTTTCGAATGCCAGGTAGCAGGATGCTTTTTCATGATTAGCTTCATAATTACAGATGTTTGAAAAAAAAAACAGTTTTTTTCGAGAATTATTATTTTGGTATCATCTACTCGTATGGAAAAATTATACGTGGAAAAAAATGAGTAATTTGTAGCATAGAATGAACCTAAATTTTCTCAGATTTATTTCGGAAAATTTTTTTTTCTACATTTTGGAGTCGATATTGTACGACTTTGTGGTATTCCACGAATGAAAAAATCGTTATTTTTATTTTCTATGGTTTTTCAATTCTTTGAAGCTGAAATCAATCTAAGAATTTTCATTAATTCAGCAAAAAAACTATCACAAAAATTTATTATCATCTGTAAATTAGAAAATATAAGTAATACAAAGTCATATCCAATGAATCAACAACGTTGAATTTTTTAGGAATCATCAAAGATAGACTCTAAGAATTAATCACTTCACTCCAAGCGTAATTCAGCTTTGTTTATAAACAAACGATGACACCGTGATACTCTAGGTAAACTCAGTTAATAACCTGTCAGTTCATTCATACAATCTTTTCAGTTGTCATCATGGCAAAAACTGCGAATTTAGCAATATAGAGTCGTAGTGAGATTGTGGCTTTTCACAAAATCGGTAAGAGCAGTAGGGATATAGTTAAAACGCTCAAGTTATCACGGCGTACTGTTGATTATACCATTAAAAGGCTTTTAAAATTTGACACAATGACCACAAGAAAATATGCAAACAGATTGAGGAAGGCGACGAAGAAACAAGATGATAATATAATTCGCTTGAGTACTCGAAATCGCCACCTGACAGCTGTAGAATTATGATCAGAAGTAAGTAAAAGTATTGGTAAATCGATAAGTATCACTACAACCAAACGAAGGCTCGCAAAAAAAGGACTTCATGAAAAAATAGCAGTCCCAAAACCACTTTTAAGAAAAGTAAATGTGGTTATGAGATTGAAATGGGCTAAAAAATATAAGGATTGTACTGTGAATGACTGGGGGACGTATTGTGGAATGTCGAATCGAAATTTTAAATTATTGGTTCGAAAAGAAAAATTTATGTTAGGAGGCACGAGAATGAAAGTCATTCTCGGGAGTGCATTATACCTTTTGTCCAACACATGGTGGAGGATCTGTGATGGTTTGAGGATATTTCGGAGGGTCCAGAGTAGGGAATTGTATCCGAATTTAAGGAAAATTGAATAAAGAAAAATACAAAAATATACTTCAAAGGAACATAGTGCCTTCTGGAAAACATTTGCTCCATCCCAACTTTATTTTCCAACAGGACAATGACCCGAAACATACTCGTACCTCGAACATTTGTAAAAATTATTTGGAGAGTTTGCAGAACCGGGAAATACTACATGGCATGACATGGCCTCCTCAATCAACTGATCTGAATCCAATTGAATTATTATAGGAAGAACTCGACCGAGCAGTACGGAAAATTTCTAGATTCTACCTTGAAAAATTTTATCCTGAGAATGTCAAGAATCGGCAAAGCAGTCATCAAGAACAAAGGTTGGCATTTTGATGAAAAAAACATTTAATTACAGTATTATAATTCTATAGTTCAATCAAATTCAAATAGATACTTTTTTGTGAGATTCTTATACTGTTATGTTATTAGGAGTGATTTGACTGTTTAAATGTTTCTGTTAATATGTGTATATATATATGTGTGTGTATATACATATATTATTATTATTATTATTATTATTATTTTTACAAGGAGTTGTGGAATCCTTTTTGAGGATTTCCCTTAGTCTTCCTGACTAAGAGGTTATGTGGGACTCCCAAAAAAAAAACAGGCCTGCCCACTACACCGCCACCTCCTTGGTGTCCTTCCCCCCCAGCCAGGGACTATGTTGATACTACTTCTGACTGGAGGTTCTGTCTGTGTTCGTCCGTTCGTGTCGTTCCTCCATATCTCGTTACGTCGCGTCACTTCGTCTGCTCAGTCATCTGTCAGGCAGCCGTCCGCGTTCTTACGTCTCAGTATAGTTTCCGTATAGGTAGTGACTAAGCGCCACTATTCCTGTTCATGTAGCATGAGAGCCACGATATTATCGGGGGTTATGCTGCTGACCGTTTCTTCCAGTACCTGTCTGAGTCTTGTCCAGCGGTCACACACTAAAAACGTATGTTCCGCGTCGTCTCGTTCGTGTCCACAGTACTTACAATCGGGGGTTCGTAGTCTGTTCATATTGTAGAGGTACCGTCGGAAGTACCCGTGGCCCGTCAAGAGCTGGGTGACGTAGATATTTAGATCACCAAATTTCATTCCGAGCCATAGCCTCAAGTCCCGTATCAATCATCTCGTCCAGTTAACACCTCGTTCCTCTGTCCATCGGATTTACCAAATGTCAATTGTCCTATCGCGCTCAGCGATTGCCGCGTTCTTTCATCTTATGTCCGCGCTGCTCCCGTAGATCCTTTTGCGTTCAAAGGCCAGAAGATCCACGGGTATTACGCCAGCCACCACGAAAACAGCCTGCGCAGAGACTGATCGGTAGGAGCAAGCGATTCGCAGTGCGCCTTGTCTCTGTACCAACATCATCGTCTTACAGCATTTTTTTGTCTTCAGGAAGTCTGCCCATATTTCCGTGCTATATAGAAGGATCGAATGAGCTGTCGCCATTAACAGTCGTCGTTTTCCCGATCTCGGTCCCGTCGTATTTGCCATCAGGCGATTCAAGGATGCTATCCTTTCTGCTGCTTTCCCGGTTGTTTTCTGTATATGAGGCCAGAAGGTCATCTTCATATATATCGAGGGTTACCCCAAGGTACTTGAATTCCCTCTTGGTCTCTATTTCGCATGTCCCCACCCTCATGTGCAGTATCGTCTGTATGCGTCGTCTCGTGAGAAACATCAGTTCCGTTTTTTCCGTTGCGAGTTGTAATCCGTGATCTGTCATCCATCGTCCGACTCGTCTCATGGTCTGGTTCAACGCCAGCTGCGCCAGCCCGGGGGACCTCTCCGTAACCACCGCCGCTACGTGATCAGCGTAGGCGACGAGGGTCACTTCGAGCGGCATCCCAAGCCGAAGCAAGCTATCGTATAAGCCATTCCAGAAGTCAGGTCCCAGTATCGACCCCTGTGTCACCCAGCGGTAACCTGTCTCGTTACTTCTCCCTCGATCGTCTGGTACGTTATCCGTCTGTTTGTTACGTAATCCTCCACAACCCGAAGCAGGTATGGCTGGATCCCGAAGTTGCTTTTCAGCACCTCCAAGATATCCTTCCAATTAGCCAAATTGAAAGCATTCCTAATGTCGAGCGTCACCAGCAACACTAGGTCGCGCTGCTTGGCAATGTCTGTCTAGTTCCAGGAAAGATTCGACCACCTTTTGGATCGCTCCAATCGTCGATCCTCCTGAAACCGAACTGCAAGTCTGATAAACCTCCTCCGGTCTGTATCGCATCCATTAGTCTCGGTATCAGTAGTTGTTCAAAGAGTTTACTAGTCGTGTCAAGTAATCTCAACGGTCGGTAAGCCGAAGGCGTGCCAGGATCGCTCCTACCTTTTGAGATAAGAACCAGCCTCGCCACCTTCCACCGGTCGCTGAACGTTCCTGTCGTCAAACACGTGTTGTACAGGTCGAGGAGTATCTCCGGCAGTAGACGAGCCACAAGCCGGAGGATCTCGGATGGTACTTCGTCCGATCCCGGTGCCTTAACCGTCTTCATCGTATTCGTTACTCTGATGAGCGCCTCAGCGGCAAAGGTGGGGGGTATTTGTGCGTTCACGTCATCCATCATATTTGTCCTAATCGGGTGCGTCGGAAACAATCCGTCAACAATCCGTCCTGCTGTTTCGGCATCTTTAAGTTCCGATGAGACTCGGGCCCCTAGTTTCCCGGTCACAATCTTGTAGCTGGTTCCCTAGGGATCCTCGTTCACCTCTTCGCAGAACTTCCTCCAGCATCGCGTCTTGCTGTCCCGTATTGCTTTCGTCAGCGTCTTCCGTGCTGTTTTGTATATATGGCTTGAAGGTTTT